TTTTCTACTGCACATGAGTATGCATAATTAACAAAGCCTGTTCGTATTAGGAGTGATTCTGCTTTGTTTTTCCAGTTTCTTGATGGGGCTAGTAATGATGTTAAAGCAACAAGGCCTTCAGTGATAAATTGCTCAAATAAGCAGTCAGTTTCTTGGATCAGTTGCTCTGCGCTAGGTGAGCGTGTCATTGTTAGACACAGGGCAAGCCTCTTTGGCAAAACTAAATTTCTGTAATTTGGAAATGGCTGAACCAGCTTTCCTTTTGGTTTCATAAAGAAATCACCTTTATGCTGAATCCAAGAACTGAAAGCCTCTCCAAAGGCATTTTGCGATTCATGTGCTGCTGACAACTGAGAATCGAAGTGGGAGCTACATTTGGCTTCAGCTGTTCTGCTGCTCTGTGCACTCCGTTGCTGCTAACAGTTTGCATACATGTGCTGTAATGGTGGGTAGGTGGATGATGTGCATGTCCAGATTACCTGTGCATGGACATACTTGGATTCAAGAAACACGTATGCAAAATTTGTTAAGAGCAAGAGGCTTTTGGCAGTAGCAACAGCTACGATGTGTGGACGGGTGTTTGCTTGGCAAAGAATCCCAGCCCAAAGACCCATATGCAGTGGTTGGCTGACCTTCCTGTATGACTCTTTCCACTTCTGTGGTTTTACTCTTTCTCTTTGTTAATGTTGGGGTTTTTATGCGTAGGCTAGAATGTTGCGGAAAAATACCTGCAAGCACAGTTCCTAACTATTCATCATGGCTTCGCGTTGGGGTTTAGATCCGACACATCTAAATCCTGCTCTGTAGTTATGTGCTCCACGTTCTCATGGTGGCCGTCCTCCAGAGCTGTGGGTCTGGAACGGGACTGATGTGCACTGGGGTTTTTTTGCTGAATTGCAACGGGTTTGGGACTGTTACCAATGAGTTTTGTTGTGCATCGTGTTTACGGTCATGGGGAAAGTGGAGGGGGGAAGCTACAGATGGAGGCGTCGCTGTGGGGCTTGCACTGTACCTGTTATGCATTCATACACAGCGTCATTTCCCTGTCACTATGAAACACCTTTACTGGTAGCGGTCACCCGCATCCCCTTCGGATTGTGGCATTTTCTGTCTCTGGTTAAATGTGTGTTAATCCTGTGGGTGTTGCCATTCCTTCTACTTGCAGCTTCTCGACGTCATTCCAGGTCCACTAGTGCTCTCTCCACTGCTGATTCTGTTGGGCAGTCAGGTGAACAAGCGCTAACTGCATGAATCCGCTTCTTACACGTCGTCTTGTTTTACACCATCTTAACATTTGCCGTCATGTGCATCAGCCAGCACTTGGCATGTGCTTCTCACCGCTGCGGGGCTTTCTGTTCTGTTTCGTTCAGTGTGGCTTTTTGTTTGGAATTTCGTTTACTGGATGTTTTTAATTTTATGTATTTTTAGGAACATTGTGAGCAGTGTTTAAACAAAGGGTGATCCAGGGCTTTCTCAATTCTCCTGTAAATCAGATGAGTTGTGCAGCATGGGCTAAATCCTGAGGGGTGCAGAGCACTTGCAACTTCTGTTTATATTCCCACTTTAGCAGTGTGGCAGTTTCCAGTGCCTAGGACCGCATCCCTATGGGGTTCATCCCATCTGCAACTGAGTATTCTGGACTCCTGTCTCTGTTATTCAAAGTGCTTTGCAGGATCCTCTTCAAAATACACAAGAGCAGCAAGAATTAAGCACCTGATGTGCTTTCAAAATGAACTTTGGAGGATAACACATGCTGATCCATCCTTCATGTAATTCTGAAGGCCTTGTCCAAAGTACATGGAAGTTGTTGGAAAATGGTTCCCTTAATTTCACTGGGTTTTGCATCAGGAGATTAAAGCTTACATATGATGAGAAAAATCTGCAGATTCCAGTGACTTCTTCCCCACCCCTGTGGTGGATTTACAGTTGTGTGGAGAACCTGTAACTTCCTTTAGAATCTGGATATTGCACTGGGAGTCTTAAAAAGAAATTAATAGGGTTGCTAGCTTTGGGTCAACAGAAACATAGCTGCGGGATCAAAGATGTTGCCAAGGATGAATGAGGGCCACAAGGAATTAATGATACCGAAAACTATTTAATTAATCCCATTTATATGGAGGGGGAAAAATATTCTGCTTCTCCTAAGTCTAGTTAAATGGCTGTCGCCTACATGAAACTCTCAAAATATTTCCCCTGTTAGGTTACTCAGCAGACATGAGGATTTTAAAAAAGCACCTCAGTTGTAATCCAGATTTAAACTTTGTTTGCATTCAACTTCATGCTTGGCTCCTGTGGATTGGTACAAAGCATAAGCAAATAGTATGTGGTTACCCATGTCCTAGAGAAGGCCACAGTCTCCCTAAAAATGACAACATCCGGCCAAAAACAGTAGTTGGGAGTTTTCACCAGGTTTGTAACACGATAATCTAGCCAGGGAGACAAGGGAAATGTGGCCAGAGTATACTTGGCTTATTTCTTGCCCCGTACTGGTTATTCCTGGAGCCAGATGTGTTCCCAGACCCACATTAGTGATATGCCAAGGTGTTTCCTAAGGTCTGACTTCTGCACTCGGGTATGACAACACTGTCTTGGGAGGAGCCCAGAGTGACTTGCGTGTTACGAATTTAAAGATCACTGAAAAGTATTTCAGAAAATTCCTCATAGCCTTGGAGACAGATCAAAGCCAGCATGCCACACTCTACTTAATTTAAAAAAGCTTAATTTTTTTTTTTTCCCTCTATGCTGGGTATTTAAACTGAACTACAACTGAATTACTTTGTCATTCTGTTCTTCATTTAAAAAAACAAAACTATCTTCCCTTTTCTAATGTAATACTAAATTAATGTGAAAACAAATGACAGTGGTATTTTTGATGCTATGTTATTTCAGAAGTTAGTCAAATTCTGATCTCGGTAACACCTGATTAATGTTGGGTTTAAATATAAACCCGTGTCCAGACCTGTCTTGACATTTACAGCCCTTGTACTGTACCAGGTGTCATTTACACTTAAAAAAACACTTGTCTTCTGTACATCTTTGTGGTGTATATCTCGTCGTAGTAGTTACTTTAGCTTCAATCAGACCTGATAAGTTACCTTCTCTGTGCTTCTAAGAGTACAGATCTCTCCATTTTGCTGTTTAACCTAAATATTTGAAATGATTCTTCAACCCAAGTGCATTAAAAAAGGGGATAGTCATAACACATACAACTTTTATTTTTTTATGAAATGTCATGATTTGATTACTTTTTGGCAGTAGTTATAAAAAATTTGTTTAATTTTTTTTTCCCCTTTGTAATGTGTTTGTAGAAAATGTGCTTTTGTTGTAAATCAGAAATGTCTTGTCTGGGTACATAACTGAGTAACAGTAAATTTTGATAGGTCATACTTCTATTTGAATATTTGAGTATTTTTTCTCAAAATACTTAAGATTTAAAAAAAATCTTCTGTATTTCCCCTCAGTAGCTTAATCTCTGACACACTCAGGTACAAATCTGGAATTAGGGCAGTAGACTGGCCAACTTCAGTCCCTGATTTGAATTATGCATGTCATTGTGAGTTAATTCCTGAAAAGATATTTCAGTGCCTAAAGATACTAGGTTTTTAAAGAAAGCAATGAAGCTTTGTGGTAAGCACAGTGGTTTTCCCCCAAAATTCATTAAGTTACTGAGTATCACATTGGAGCACAGTTTTGTGGAAATCCACGCATTTTGGTAAACAGTATATTTTTCCTGCAATAAACCAAATATAGATGAACTAATAAAAGACCCGTGTGGCTTGATCCCTCTCTCCTGTTGCTTGATGACTGCTTCCAACATGGATTGGCTGAAAGTCTATTAAATGAGTTCACGCGGCTTGACTTCTGCACCACTGAATTTTCTGGCAAAACGTATTGGCACAGGGGGCAGAGGTGTAAAGTATGTCCCAGCAAGGGTGTTCCCGGTCTTTCTTGGGCAAAGACAAGCCTACGTGGAAACAAACTTGGAATGCCAAAACCAATCTCTTGCTGCTATCGCTGGGAGCCAGGATCCTAGTGATACAGTACCTGATCTACCCCCGTCTAGAAGGACTGTGTGTTCCAGAGCCCGATGCCCCACTCACCGATCCTGTCATAATGCTGCTAGCATAGCTTTCTGAATTTGGCCTTTGCCCAAAGAAGCTAATTTCCAAAACTTTTTTGGTAGACTGGGTAAAGTAAACTAGTATTAGGAGTCTAAGTGACATTCTGGACTCAATGTTGTTGCTTTGTGTGCCATTGAGAGCTTTGTCATCAAATTCAAAGGGAGAAAGATGGTACTGTTTGATTAAAAAAAAATCAATTTTGATGTATCACAGAGCTTTTAAATGGCATTTAATCTGCTTCTCCAGAACAGTAATAAAACAAAAATTGGATTCACTTCACAGGCAGATAATAAACCTTATTTTTATACTATGGGGCGTAGCAGGATATTCTGTTGATTAATCAAACCTTGAGACAAAATAGGCTAATCTGGTGCTGCTAGTGTCTCATCCTTGCCTGAGAAAAAGCTGCAGGATGGAGGGTTGCTCAGGTATTAACATGTTCTGACATTGGGCACGATTTGGTCTCTCTGAAGTTAATGAGAAGCTTTCTCTTAATTTCTGAGTGTGCCAGATTGGAACCGGCATGTCTGCCTCTGATATTAAAATAAAACTTTGAAACTATTTCTGTGCAGAAAAACACACAAAATAGATATCCTGCTTCCCAGCTCTTAAAAAAAAAAAAAAAAAAAAAAAAAAGGCGGTTGTGTGTATTGGTAAGTAAAGCAGGAAAGAAACATCCAAAATTGTCTTTGGGACCCAACAAACAATAGTTTTTCTTACTCTAATGGTAAACTCTGTAGAGCTGTGGATAAAAGTGTTTAATGGAAAAGCACTGCAAGTTCCCAGAGCGCGTGGGGCGAGCTGCTCGGGCACCTGATTAGGATTCCAAGTGAATGTGAATTCATTTAACAATCCCTTTCAATGTTGTCTTTTGTGCAGACCGGTTTGGACTCGGACAGCCAGGCAGGATGCCTGCTTCTGTGAATGCCATGCGAGTCCTGAGCACAAGCACAGATCTGGAGGCTGCCGTGGCCGATGCACTGGTAAGAGGAAAAATACAAAATGCTTCCGACACCGGAAAGTGGCTTAAAGTTACCTGTACGTATGTTCTCCTCTTTCTAAACAGCTTTGTTCTGATTGTGCCAGTGCCTGATGCTGTAGAGCTTGTTGCCTTTTGCTGTTTTGTGTTTGGGCGTATCAACAACAATATTTATTGCCTTATTCCATGTCAGTTCTCCACAGTTGTTATCAAACAGACAGCTGTGACTCAGTGCTAGCGCTGCAGGATGGGTTGAATGAGCTGTTTGTCTTTCACTTGGCTGTCAGAGGATGAACACTGCACTGTGGCGTGCTCAGCACCCACAGGGTCAGGGATTTCCATTACTCCTGTTACCTGCATGAAGGTTATTTTCAGAAAAAGCGTTCACTGTTAGCATCAATTCCTGTTCAGGTTTCAGCAAGAGCTGAGAATTTCACACGTGTTATTTGCACCTGGCTAGATACTTGGATCAGCTCATAATGTGGCTTGTCTGTGATCGGTATCATCTCAGGCAGTTAAATGGAAGTGTGTTTGTGTAGTGTGCTCCTTGTGCCTCCCAGATATCCAGTGCATTTCCAAGTAATTTTATTGTCACATTTTGAAATTTGATTGTCCTGTATAACCTTACTGTACTATAATGTCTCTTGAGTAGAACCCAGAAAGTGTCTTCTGCTCTTTAGGAAACAAGTGTTCAGATAAGCCTTTGAATTTAGCTTGGGGTTTTGGCGAGAGAGGATGTGTAAAGGCAGGAGCAATTATTCTACAGCATTACCTGGGTACAAGTATACCTTGAGTCTTCTCCAGCTCTAGATCTGAGCTGAGGGGAGTTTTTCCTGATGTGTCCGAGGCAGATATCTCAGAGAAGACACGCTGTGTCCCCAGCGTGTTAGAGATGTCCTTTCTCCAATATAGAGGTAGGGCAGTATGCAATAAATGGCACTGTTGCATTGAGCGAGCTCAGTCATTAGTGGGCACTTTCATTATCAACTACAACCTCTTGTGAGGCAGTTTCTGCTCTCAGCACCTCAAATTTGCCACTGGTGCAGCTCAGGGCATAATTGTAGGTGATGGTTTACCTGTGTACATGAAATACAGCTGTATCCCTGAATGTGAGCAGTAGCTGAATACGGGTTTCTTGAGGGAGGAGAGGTTAGCAGTGAATTGAAATACCACTGTGATGTCTTCGGATGTGACTTGATCTTCAACTAGATTTACAGAGTTGTTTGTAAACTGTATAACATTATACTGGCTATATAAACTAGATCACAGTATAGTAAAACCGTAGCGTTAAAAGGCAAAGCCATAAGTGTAGCTGGAGACTAAGTAGTGCTGCTGCCTACATTGATCAATCTGAATTTGAATGAATTTAGGGGATGTAACATGATCTTGTCCTCTTCTTTCCCACCACACCAATTTGCTCTTTTTCTCAGTTGTCTTCTGACAACAGTTTACAAACTCTGTTCAGGCTCTTTTTGAGGGAGAGTGGTGTGATGCCAGCTTTTAACCAGCAGCCTTGGTTTTGGATGAGTATTCTTTTCCCTCTAGTAGGAAATGAAAAGAACTTCTCCAAAGATGGCTTCAGCAAAATACCCAGTTTAAACAAAACACAGTGGGTCATTTTGTGCCCCGTACTCCATGCGTACAATTCCTGGTGGATGCGCTGGTTCTGCTAGAGAGCTGGATTTGTCCTAAACCAGCTGTGTCTGTACTGGGAATCAGTGCTCAGATCTGTCAGAAGAGTTCAAACGGTGATGGAAATTTTGGCCTTTAAGCGAGGGGTGCCAGCCAGGGGGTCTTAAAAGGAGCTAAGCTTCAAAATGTGTGGTGTAAGAACTGCGGGTTGAAAGAGAGCTTGGTTAAGTGAAGTTGATTAAATGTGCTGTACTGTAGATAGTGGTTTCCTGACATCAGAATTTCTTTCCAAGACTAAAATCAAATGCTACTGATAATGTGTCGGGAAATAAATCACTGCCAAAAACTCTGGTATCTTTTAGAGCAGTGTTTCTGAAAAGTAAGCAAAGAGTTTTTGTATATAGATCTGTCATCGAAAACCTTGTTAACAGATAATCTCACTTCCAAGCTTCCTAATGGACAAGGTAGGGTATACGAGTGGTGCAGCAGTTAAGAGATAAAGCCAGGCATTATTATACCCACTTTTATTTTGCATAAATTGTATTTTTTTTAATTTGCTAAGACACATTTGCTATACATTTTTGTTGCAAAAACAAACCCTACATAAGCTTCTGACATAATTCTCTATGCTTTTTCCCACCCTTCAATATTTTCCTGCCTACAGCTGTTAGGAGACTCCAGGAGCAAGGTACTAGTGCTTTCTTGACTTTTTATTTCTACTTTCCAACTTTCCCCCCCCTGTTGCTAACGCCCATGATACTGCACTTTAGTTAATTTCTATGCTTCAGTCCTGCAGTCCTCTTGGAAGCAAAACTCTGCTGGCTTCACGAGTCCCAAGAACTGCAGGAATGGACACTGGAAGGAATTCTATAGCAAACACTTTAGAATATAGGCAATCTTTTTCTGATGCACTGTTTTATGAATCCTGTTCTGTTAAGGTTCATTTGAAGAGTTTGTTTTGCAGTATGCAATTTGTTTTACTACCTGTAATATCGAGGCTGTCAAAGTTAAGGAAAATAGGTCCTCTAATGCCATGCTATGGAAATGAGTGGGAAGTGGGTATTCAGCTCCCTTGGGAGCCTTTCGAAAAACCCTAGCCCAAACTAACAGAAATAGTCCTATATCCCAGTGCATTTGTAGAGTCACTTCGTTACCAATATCTAAACGACTGTGCATGCCAGCACAGATTCCCTCAGCTCTTTCTTCCTTATCTTTTTATTTATTGAGGTAGAGGTTGTATCATCATAGAATCTGTAACAGTGGAACTGGCCATTACTGGCAATAAAACAACATATGATTTCATTAAGAGTAGCTAATTCCACTGGTCATATGTATCTCACTTTCATGCTGGGGAAGGGAGGCCCTGCTCCCCCTAGTCACTTGAATAGTCTCATTGAAATCGTTAGGATCTGTCTTGCTCTGCTGCAAGAGGTAAGCAGGCAATGCTTGGTGACGTCTTTAAACACATGTCACTGTAACAGCAGCATTAGTCTTCCTTCTAGTGATTATGGATAAAATTTTTTCTGTTGGTACTGATGTAACATATATATAACTTGTTAAGTCTGTTTCCCCTTTTCCAGAAAAAGCCAGTGAGAAGAAGATATGAACCTTATGGGATGTACTCGGATGATGATGCTAACAGCGATGCATCAAGCGCTTGCTCGGAGCGCTCCTATGGTTCCCGGAACGGGGGCATTCCACACTACCTGCGGCAGACTGAAGATGTGGCTGAGGTCCTGAACCACTGTGCCAGCTCCAACTGGTCTGAAAGGAAAGAGGGGCTCATCGGTCTCCAGAATTTACTGAAAAGCCAGCGGACACTGAGGTGAGCATCAGAGTTTATAGTGTCAGTTATTCATGAGAGATGGCTAGGTCTGAAGTCACCATGTCTTACATAGAGAGTGTCTTACACAGCTGTGAAAGCTTTGTCCCCACAATGTGGGACTTCAGTTACTTTGAAAAATTCCTATCATCAGTATAATTTGTGTTAAATTCGTAGCAGTAACCTAGAAAAGTCTCAAGTGAGCATGCTATCTTCTCTTAGCCTTCCTCTGTCTTGTGACTTCCAGTGGTAGGGCCTTGTTGTAGCACAGTGAGATTTCCCGCAAGGATGCTCATGTAAATTGCCACTTCAAGGGTGGTACCGTTTTTACCTTAGTCAGTTTGAAGCGTCAATATTTTTTTCCCCCGCAGCTTAGTTGAAGCAAACACATGCTGCACTTACTCTGCAATGACTTTAGGGTGTGTCTGTTTCAAAGGTGAGATCAGACGATGCTCTCGGAATGTTGGGTATACTTTTACTCTTTATGAAGGCTGTGTTAGGTATAATTATAGATATTATTTGTAACTCAAAATCTTTTATCAGAAACTTGACTCTCCTATAAATGGTGTAGTTTAAAAGGTAGAGGGAAGTTTCTTAAGCCAATGAAGTGGGTGTAGGAACTCTGAAAATTTGCTTATGGTCGGAGAGGCAGACCTTTTTCCCTTGTTGAAAGCTAAACAAACCCTTCAAACACCATTGGCATGAATTACCCAATAGTCATGCAGGAACTCCATATGGCCACAAGTCACATTAACAAAATACAACTGGCGCTCAGGCCTATAGGCTTTTCATCCTTGGTTTATGGTGGAAGTATTTAGAAACAAGCAGTTTCTTTTGGCTCCTTTGAAGTTAACATTCACACATAGCTGTGATGTTTTTATTTTCCTGTTGCAGACATTATATACTTAAATTATAACCAAGTTTATAAGTAGTGGTTGTATGTTTTATAGCCTTACCTAACTTGGATTTGCACAATTGTTTCCATTTTAAAAGGCTTTTGCTGGCTGAAAATATTTGATGGTTCATGTTAACAGACTGAAACAAATGTTCTGAGAGCAGGCCTGGGCAGGTTATTCTCTTGCCATCATAAAAATATTCTAGCACTTCACAATATGTGAGGCAGTCCTGAAGTGAGAAGCGCTACAGTTCTTTTAGTATGGGTAGTTAGAGTCTCTAGATCAGAGATGCTTTTTGATGTGGTCTGTTTACAAATCTTTTAAAAGATAGTTCCCACATATATGCTGTCGTCTGTTCCTTTATTTTAACAAACTGCCTGGATAGTCTCTGGCACCTCATTTACTTGCACGAAAATGTTGAGCGAGACTTTGATTTTGTCACAGAGCTGTGTGAGGATTATAACCAAGGTTTTGAGTGCTACTGGGGATAGTTCAAGGGAGGAAATGTTGAGAAGGTGATGGGCTATTTATCGAGGTCAGTAGCTCTTAGCTGAAATGTCAGTATAATTCAGCTGTTGTTTTCAGTGTTGCTGGTTGCAGCTTTTGAGCTGTGCTGCTGTCACTATTCCCTCGTGCTAACACGCTTAATTAGCTTTCATCCAAAATAGCTTGTAAACCTGTCCCAGAAACTACACCCCTGCAGAGTTACTTTTTTAATTTGACAGTGGTTTTAGTTGTCTAGATTATATTTCCTTTTGGTCTGCTTCCTACTTGGTTCAGGGTTGATCTGCTGCCTGTTTTAATGATTAGATTTTATCATCCTGTTTGTTCCCACGGCACCTTGCAGAACATCATCAGGGTTATTAGTCCAAGGGCAAGTCTGTTTTCTAATTAAACTTGATACCTTCTTTTGTGGTATAACAAGTTTAATAAAAAACAGTGATGTGGCTAGGTTTTCTTTAGTACTCTGAACTGAAAGGTGGCTGATCCTATGTTAGCTGGGATTTGCATATCCCGAAAGATGTGCATGCGAAGTGGCATGGCGCTTACCTATCCTCTGTTACATACAACTTCGTGTAGTCTGGCTCTCTGGGGGCTCCCCATAAGGTCTTCTAAATCAATCATGGCCAAGTCCCTTAAGAAAATGTTCTCCTGCTGCTTGTTTCAATTTACTACTTGCATTGTTACCTTGGGTCCACGAGGTTTTAGAAACACCCTTATACTTGCTGTGTTCACGTAACCATTGTCTGGAAAGAAAATTCACTGGAGTAATAAATAGCAGTCCATTCAGAGAGCTGCAATCTGCATGAAGTCAGGAGAGTGGTGAGGAGTAGTCGTTTTGAGGCTGCAGTCTCATCCTGAATGAAGCTGAGCGCTTGCTGTGGCATCGTTACAAAGACTTTTTTCTCTACATCAAATGCTTAAGACCACAGTTTTTGTGCCCTTTTAAAATCTGATCAGCCTTCCATGCTGAGGCTTATTTGAAAAAATGTCCTGTGCTACTTAAACAAGCTAACATAACATAAATTCAGACTACTAGCATATTCTGGCCTATTCTTTGAAGCTTATTGTGAGAGAGGGGGAGATGTGTTGGTGAACTGTAGAATTAACATCTTTCAGTAAAGAGGGTACCTGTGGTCAAGATCCGAGCAGTTGTCCTCTGAGCAATCAGTGTGCGTTTCACTTGTTGCTCTAATTACGTAGTAATTGTGAAAAATAATTAGATCCACATTATGCAGGAAATGTTACCTGTCTTGATGTCTTTTTGTTTGCACATGTGCTGGATTCAGCCAGGA